TTCTGATGATCTTTTGTACTTTACTCTGGTAATGTCAATTGGATATTAATTATCTTATATACTTTATATATATAGCTTCATTGCGATGGGACTAATGGAATCTTCCTTCTCTTCTACTTTTTAATTATGAGCCCATTTTATTAAATATATGAACATAAACAGTACTGTAATATTGACGTTGAAGTGTATATCAAAAACATCCGACTAATAAATGGGCATTACATTAAGAAATTTACGTTTTTTAACTAGATAGAAGTAATTCCATTTGAATGAATTTAAATATTTTAATTGCACAAATTTTGTTAAAATTTTTAATTTAGAAAACGAAAATAGTTGCAAATAAATAAATATTGCGTTACAAAATGTGGCGAACTCATATAGTTTGTTAATTTCTCTTATTTATTTAGGATAAATCAAATTAAAATTTTAAGTACATTTCCTGATACTGAAAATATAAGAAGATTACACTGCAATAAAGATTAGTATATATTGAACTCTATTTGGCAGCGGTCGAAGGAAGTGATATTAAACTCGCAATGGAAAGAAAAATGTTTCGAAATCCACGGTTTGTTAACTCAATAACAAGTCAATGTCTTCGTTAATTTATAGAAACTTTTTAATTATATTCACAAAATGCACAATATAATGAATAGGGTATATTAGGGGAAGTAGATAGTCTGATGTTTCAAAAGAGAGATATAATCCTATAAGACTTAATCACATTGCTGAAATAACATAAAATTTTCGAAAAGTGAAGTACGGTAAATATATTCAAATAGCAGGTAATTTTATAAAGACAGAAAATTATATGCATATTGTTACAACTGTCAGTTTCTCATTTAATAATCGCATAAGAATTGAATATAGTAAGTATATATTTGAACACTTATTGTAAGTTATATCGTGAAGAGATATTAAAATACGAAAATCATGAATTTATGATATTGCGCACTCGAATTTTTCTGTTCACTGTACCAGATGAGGCTCTTTGAAAAATCCTCTGATACAACGATATTCGAGTCTCATATGTTATGTTCTAATGATATTTATACAAGAATTAAAGCCAATTTTAATAATAAAATGTGAAACAGCTACTTCTGATGTGTAAGGAAAGATCTGGAGAGGGACTTTCACATTTTCTATTAATGCCTTATATTGCTTTGAACAAATTGTATGAATACTCTAATTCATTCTCATAATTGTATATTTTATGATTACTTGACAATGATATTGATTATTTTTATAACATTTTTATATCTGCTGCTCTTAAAAATAGAAAGTTAATGAAATCATCAATAATATACTGAAATAACATACTGAAAATATACCGAAAAACAGAAGTCTCTTAAATAAAATAGTTTAATTATTTTAAACGTTGCTGTATATTTTTATAACGATTTGTTTTAAAACATTATAAATTATTTTATATAAATATTCCTGCAGATGCAACTCTATAATTGTACATTTAGTTGACTATGTAAAGTTCTTTTATTCCCATCGACTAGTGCACTTGTATTTTAATTTAAATGTATTTCTTTAGTTCTTATATATTTTTATGCATTCTCATATTTATATTCGAAAAAATATAAAGATTTTGTTTATATTTGTCATATAACTTAATCTAAGAAATATAAAATATTATGCTATTTATATGTGAGACGAATAATTAAATAATATAGCTTGCATATAGACAAAATCAACCATATTGTTATCAATCGTATTGTCATAAAATATTTAAAAATTACTTCGTTCTTCCAACGTTTATCCCTTTATAAGGTCTCTATCCTATTTCTATGAATTCTTGCAAAGTATTGTAAAGCATACTACACGAAGTCTTCTTGGAACGGTCAACAATTTCTCAAGAGCCAAGCTTACATTTAATCCTATCTCCGTAAGCTAACATCTGTGTGCTGAAGGAATGAAAGACAGGGAGGGGAGATTGCATATACGATTACTTGAATATTACTGGAAAAGGTAGCATACAAAGTCTTAGCGGTTAGGCCACAAGCTTTTGGCGGTGGTTCAAGAATCGAGGTCAATCGTGTGTAGATCCAATAACCTCTTCATACTGTAACACGAAACGAACTTACATATAAAACACGAAGCACACAGGCTTCTTATTTCGACTAAGCTGGTACAGTTAGTTTAGTAACCACCGTCGAGTCGAAAACTGTAAACTGTTTGCGATTCATAACTACTTTAATATTGGAGATTACAATGCTGCATAGGATTTTAAGAAAGAATGTTAATAGTGTTAATGAATTTAAAACTTTTTAATTAAGTCATACATCTTTAATATTAGTATTTAAACTTGTATTGATATTGTCATACATTAACGTGTTAAACAGTTTTTTTTTTATTATATTGCAATTTTTGCTATAAATTATTATTACAATCGTCTTTCGGTTAATATCATGATCTTATTTTTCCAGCATATATATCTAAATACTATATAAATATAACAAATAAACTTCATAAATTCGTAAATACAAATATTAATTGAAAAATAAACTTAACCACTTTATTATTTAATATATTATATTATATGAAGTTCGTAGTAAATACCGAATATTTTTATATTCATAAAACAGTTTAATTTTATTCGTTTAATAATTACTTTAATTCATTGAATTGTAATCATTCGTAATTGGTATTATAATAGAAATATACTAATAACCATTTCTTAACGGGCGATTCATTTATAAATATAAAGAGGATAGATTGACCGAGATTAATGGCTGCGAACCTCCTGGCAAGAATTGCAGTAAACCCCTGCAGTCCTCCTACCTGCTATGCAGACGCGCATGTTTCTCGTGTTCGGAATCAGCAGGGTGGGCATGCGGTTGCCGCTTCTGGGACTTTTCTAAGAGATTGGAACTTTGTTTGGCAGTACCAGAGTTCAGTTTCCTGAATTCAATACTTAATTATATTCAAACTAATTGAGATAAATTTTATCTCTATTTAAATATAAATATATAATAAGTGAAATTATTAATATAATAATACAATTAAAAATACCATTTTTGAAATTAATAATTTTGAAAGAAAGTGTTTAAGATTTCTATAAAGAATCAAACTACTCATTTATATGTAAATAGAAAAATTAATTTGTAAAGATCAATAAATTTTGCAAAAAGAAAATACAATTGTTTTATTTATTGAAATTTAAAATCATTTTAAATTATATTCTAATCATACTGAATAATTCATAATGGATAATAAAAACATTGATAATCTTAATATTTTCTAAGGGGCACATTAATTTAGTTACAATAATATAAATATGATAATATAAACAAAATATAATACAAAAATCTTTATCTGATGTATGATAGTAATAAGGCTACATATTTTTTCTATTGAATAGCAACGGATGATACACTGATGCTGTGCTTAATAACAGGATATTAAATATTATGGAATAATGACATATTTTGACTTAAATCATAATTAATATCATAAAGTAATAATTAAACTTTTTTTATTGAACGAAAAATAATTTTCGTAGTACTCTCATTTAATTTTTCAAATTTCACTTGTTCGCAGTTAATATTAATTTTAAAAATATAAATTTTTCAAAGTTATAAGGAATAAAATAAATCAACTGTTTGATTGCTTGAACAGCCAATGTTTCGATAGCATTAATTTGCTATCGGCCCGAGCGGATGCTTGGGAAGGAGTTAAGTGGAAGGGCTGTAGAAATACAGTATGCGCTTTTTCGAAAATATGGTTTATTTACAGTTACACTATTCTTCGATTCGATTTATATATTATGGAATTTATTATTATGGAATAAGTTGTCTACTAGAGATACTATTAGTGACTCATTATTGAGTGTAATTTGTGCTATTAATGGTAGCGTCATGCTAGTCTTGTAAGAACTGGGAATAATTAATAGCTTGCTCATTCTGTGCGGAATAGCATTTTAGTTTGCACAGAATTTGATTAATTACAGTGATGCAGTAGCCTTGATCTGATCCTGAGATGAGTAGTTCACTATCCGGAATGCTCCTTGTTGATCTAAAATTATATGCATTTAATGCTATGGAAATATTGTTTAAATGAGAATTAAAGACCATTATATATTTATAAAATAGAGATATTTTGTTATAAATAAAAAATCATTTTCGTCAAATAAAAATGTTAAACTAAGATATTTAAACTAAGATATTTACCCGCGGTAGAATAATGGTACATACAACATAATAACAGACAACAAAGGAAAATTTACAATCCAATTCTATAATCAAGGCTTCGTGAAAAGGCTTCTACATCAAATTGCACTCAATACATTAGAATTCCAGTGATGAAGAACGGAAATAACTATTCTTTTTTTTTCTTAAAATTTGTAATTACTTATCGATTAAGATACTACAATGATTCCTCTCTATTTATTTAAAAATTTTATATAATATCGATTTATTTTTAGCAATTTAAAATATTCAATTATAAGTATGAACTCTTTCTTTGCAAATCAAAAATTTGTAATGAGCTCTCATAAAGAATTTGTTTGTTTCTTACAATTATGTACATATTTTTATATTTTAGTATGCATTTTTATTAACATTTTACTTTTATTAAAATATTTATATACAAAAGTTGTTAATAATGATATTTAGAGAATTCATTTTTAAAAAAACAGTTTTGAAAAATAATTTATTTAATAATATGCTTTTATATAATGTATATAATATATATAATATAAATAATACTCTAATACACTTTCAAACCTTCGAACTATAATTATTTTTAACTTATTATGGCTTCATTGACCGTCGAATAAGTCGACAATTTTTATCATCGAGTAAATTAAATATTCGTTTAAGTATCATTAACGCATGTACAAGAGAATTGTTATATAGCAAGAATCATTATTATATTATATATAATGAACATTTATTTTTAGCTTTAAAATTGCAAAAAAAAACATTTTAAATACCATACTTCCTTTCACGAGAGGTTCAAATCTTTCTAAAATTTTCGCCTAACACGTGTTTTAGCATTACCAAGTCAAGATCCTGAAATCATGGGCCTGGCATCCTATTACGCCATAGGCGATAACTTAATTGCCAATTGCACGTCCCGGCCGTCGATGCCAAGGGCAAAACTCCAGTGGACCGTAAACAACCGGACGGTAAGCTCTTACCTATGTTACATGTATATAATGTTGATTTTACGCAATTATTTGTTCATCTAGTTCATTTAATTTAACATCTCAAGTTTGATTATGTAGTTATTTCGTTAATTCGGGTAATAGATATAAATAAATTTATATCTCTATATAAAAAAACTTAGTTTCTTATCTAGATTCTAAACAATAATTATTTCAAACAAATTTATATCATGAATACTTTTATGAAAGATATATTATCGTGTTTTATATAATTGAAATTCAAAGCAATACAGACCAACAACGTGTAGGACATATATTGTGCATATTTATTATTATTAAAATAATTGTATAAATCTTTTTTTACTTCACATATTGGTAAATATTAATTATTCTTATAGGTATATTTAATATAAGATATAGAATTTTACAGTTAGTTGTAAAACGCTTTTTAATTTTATGTCATTTTATACCCACAAATATAAAGAAAGATTTTTTTTTGTTTTGACATACATTATTTTAACAGAATTTTAATAATAATAACTTAATTAAATTTCAAGCTAATATGTAATTTAATTTCGTAAGACGCAATAATTCTTTTTTGTGTATACTGTCAAAGCTGTAAACAAGACTGCAATTAGATTTTCTTGAGTTAGAATTTGCATACTATTAGAAATTTTAATACAAAGTCATCTACAAAGTGAGATTATTTGTTTAAAACTAATCAATTTTGAAAATCTAATTTTAATATATTTATTTGAAAATCAATTTTGAATTCAAAACTAAAGCAATAAGGTGGATCAAGTCAATAATCTTTTTGACGTCAATTTCTAAGTTTATTTTGAACTAACTATAATTTATATTAGTTCTAGAAAATTTATTTTTCAATTAACTTTCTTCAATATATTTCCATAATGTTTGACTTAAATCTAATTATTTCTTAATCTCCCATGCACCAGCAAAAATGTATAAGACTTAACTTTAAAATCATATAAATCATAGGACTCATACACGTCTGAAAATTATATAAATCGAATAAAATTTACCTTAATTATACCTTAAAATGAAATTAAACCTGTGAAGCGTATTACCTGTTAAGTGAATAAAATTGTTAACGCAGATTGTAGAATGTAAAAAACGTTAAATAATACGCGTATAAAACTTATTTAACGATTTCTGGAGACGTCCGTATTAGAGAAATAGTTATTTTGTAAGGAGAATTTTTTTATAAACTCTCGAATAGTTATTAATTATTTATCTATATATTTCCAGTTAGGATACAAATTTACTTTTTATATAAGATTCAATATCATATCAATGTTTCGTTAATCTAAACACGACTAATAGAGCAGACTTCATTTACGTTTGTAGATTACAACGCTTTTGCATCGTGGTTATGTTTATCTTTCTAATTAATTCAAGTATAATCTAATTAATTCTAATTAATACAACTTAAAAGGAATTCCGTGAATTTTTTCTTACTGATCAGTTGTTGATCTATGTCGAAGTTCCAAATATTTTTATTCAGAAGTAAGAGATACCCACTTAAAATATTGTGTTTGTATGATAAGCAAATAGGTTCCTATGCGATGAAACTTATTTATAAATAAGTAAAATATTTAAGGTAAAAGAATTAAATATAAAAAAAAGATTTTATTTATTATTTATTTTATATAAGATATAATGATTCCATGTAAAAATAACCTTTTATTTGTTATTTCGTTTATACATACTTGTACAACATATTTGCCTACAACTAAGATACATTTACTATTGAACAAAAAATTATTTCAAATAGAAAATTAAAGACAACAACAACAAAAAACAAAATGTGTACGATTAGTATAGAAAAATTGCATTTATAATGTTGCAGTTCTTTATTTGTGTAGTTTTAGTTTTATTGACCATTATATTAAGCAATTATCAATGGAAGATTCATTTTATTATTATTTAATAAGATATGGAAACAAAATTGATATATACTCATCAATTATTATATTTATACATATGAGTATATACAATTCTTATGTTTTTTGCATTTTATATAGCATTTATGTTAATAAATATCATTTGTAACTACTGATATACTTGTATAATGATTTTCTTGATAATGAGAAACTCGATTACATTTCTTTTATTAACATTCTGCCATAACAAAATTTTTTCTTCAATTCTTTCTGACACTGTATCTATATAAAGAAAGTACTAAAGTAATAATTAATGGTAATAAATAATTTAAAATTTAGAAAAAAGAAAATAATGTTATATAAAATAAATCTATATCTATTTTTATAATCTTATTTATATTCAAAGACCTTAAACACTGTTTTTAGATCGAGATTTTTGTAAAATCCTTTAAAATGTATTTGTAAATAGTATTTTATTTGGAACTTTTCTTGCTAAAAGATTTTTTTTTATAATAGAAGATAATATAATAATTAAAGTAAAATTAAATGAAATTATAAGTGGAGATGAGACAGATACAAGCACTGTTGAAGTAGAGAAGCCAAGCAGAAGGAGGAAGGTCCTTACTCTTGATACTATAGTGATAAAGGAGTCACTAATAGCAATTCTAGGAGGCAACTTATTCAACACAAGATCAATTCGAAACAACTGCAATGACGCGAATGAATATAGCGTATACCCTTCCATAATATATAAATCCAATGAAAGAATCGTAAAACTGTAAATAAACTATATTTTCTAAAAAGCGCATATTGTATTTCTACAGCCCTTCCACTTAACTCCTTCCCAAGCATCCGCTAGGGCCGATAGCAAATTAATGCTATCGAAACGTTGGCTGTTCAAGCCAAGAAATCAAACAGTTGCGAACACTACATTTTATCATTATAAAAAACTTTTATATTTCGCTTTCTTGAAATCAATGAAATAATGTATTCTATCTCCCATTCTATTTCAAAATATAATTTTTAAATGTGTACTGTTGATGACTGGTTACGATATGTCTTATTTATTATATTTATTATCATAGTTTTTTTCTAATACGTAATCTAAAATAATGTGGAACATGAAATATGATATTATTTAATTAAAACTTATAATTGTTTTTCCTTTTATTATACATAATATATTGTAAACATTTTATATTTAATGTTTTTTATATAAATCATTAAAAATTAGTGTTCAAAAAATGACACAAATTTAAAAATTAAACAAATTTGTGCTAAAATCAACTAAATTTAAAAACAAAAATGTTTAATATATTAATATATCTGTTTGAATGGCCGTAAGCCTTTCTTCTGTATCCTGTAGAATATTTATGTATCATCAATTTTTATAAAAGATTATTTGAATTAAATATAAAACATTATTTTGTTTCTATTCTTATTTCTCTTTTCTGTTTTACTGCATGTAAAAGATGGTGAATAAAAATTTTAATACGTGTACAAATATCATCTTACATATTTGAAATCAAGACAGAGGATAACTATTCTTTAGGTAATGTAAATTTAATTCTCTTCTAAAATTCATTTCAACTTAAATAGAAGAATTTTAACTTGTCATTCATTGCTAGTTTTCTTTTAATTAAGTTTATTTGATTAAAAATAATGAAAACTTACTCTACGATTAATTTTAGGAGTCTGGTGGAATCACTTTTAGAATTTAAAATATTATTGTCAAAACTTGCAGTTAATACTTGTGACCTATAGATAAGAATACTAGGATTGATCCACTATGAGATTTACATAGTATCTGTGAAAATAAATTGCTATTCGGTGTCGAAACACACCAAACTTTTGAAAAGGTGTATTAATGCCAGATTCGTGGAGTTTGATGCTTCGAGACACCCGGCCGAAAAAAAGAAATTTATTTATTAAAAACAAATATTCTAGAAGATCAAGGCGTAAATCATAGCTGCCATAATCAAGTACGCCAACATTCGGCTATGTCGTATTTCAATTATTCTAAAAATATTGTAAAATGTCAAATTTGTTAGCTTTAAAAGACTTTACCTTCTGTAGAGAAGAGCGTAACAATAAGTAGAGATTAATTGGTACACAATTTTGCGATCAATTTATGTTGATTTCACTAGAATAAAAAATGAAAATTTTTATGTTCACTATATGTACGAAAATATCTATTTGATAACTACATCGAATAATGAAAGAAATTAAATATCAAATTCATGACTACTTCAATAAGAATTAAGATACGATTTTTTTGTTCTTAAAATTTAATTTTTTTATTTTCAATAAAGGTATGTGTGATAAAGATCATGTATTAAAAATAAATTTCTTGAAAATAGAAAGAGTATTCCAATAAACAATATTAACATTAAAATAATACGAAGTTTCATAATTAGTTTTGATTAACAAAAATTTCGGTCATATTTTTTGTTCATTGTTATTTTACAATAATTAATAAATATTAATTAATTATTAATAATGGTATTAAAAAGAACGTAAATAATAAAACTGTATAATTATAAAAGTATTATGTTTTTAATTATAAATGTATTAAGAAAATACAATTCAAATAAGATGAAATATAGTATTCAAGAGATATAGGTCAAATTTAAAAAAATTTTGTTGATTATCTTTTTATTTAATTTCAGAAATTACTAAAATCTAAAAAAATTAGTTTTAAGTCAATAATTGTTCTTTTCGGTATTTATAAATATAACTTAAATTGTATTTAATGAACACTCAAGGTAATTGGATTTATTAAAAATAAAAGCTCACTATTTACACTAGTAAATTTAGGCTACTTCAATGAATATTTTAAAACATATAAGTTTATTGATACTCAATGTAGATTTAAGAAGATTTAACCAATGATAATTGAAGTATCTTTTAATTTAGGACATATAAAAAAAATTTATAGATTATATGTGGTATTATTAATGTGTAGTAAATTTATTATTTATTAATTAAGTAATAAAATATTATTTTAATTTTTTATTACAATGTTATTACATATACAATTCTGTTCGATAGCCTTATTATAATTTGCCACCCGCTCTAGCGGATGCTTGGGAAGGACTTAAGTTGAAGGGCTGTAGA